ATTAGGGTGGTGAGCCCTTAGCTTAATGATTTGAGATAGGAGTTTAGCAAATGTGGTGTTGCGTATGGACAACAAGGAAACATGTGACCATCTTGTTGATGCATCAACCAACACCATAAAGTATCTAAATGGTCCGCATGTTGGTTGGATAGGTTCATAAATGTCCCCTTGAATCCTCTGAAGAAATTTAGGGGGTAATAATCTTTGTATGGGAGGGTTGAGTATTCAACTTCCCTAAAGAACACACTTTGCATGGCGGGAGTCCAACATAGGGATGTAACTTATGCCCGTGTGAAAATTTGAGAATACGGCGCATCATGTTACGTCCAGGATGTCCCAAACGGTCATGCCAAAGCAACAAAGTGCCCTGGAACTCAGGCATAAGGCCGGCCACACTGTGGGCTTCTATGCCGCAAATGGTTGTGATGTACAACCCACTCGGCAGATGTTCCAACTTCTTGTGAATACGTTTCTAACCATATTCGTATGAAGTGATACAAAGAAATTCAGAACCATTATCTTCAATGGTTTCAATGTGATATTGATTATCTCAAATATCTCTAAAACTTACCAATGTTCTTCTGGAACGTGGAGAATAGAGTGCCACCTTAATGGTCAAGATTGTACCATTGGACAACATGATACGTGTATTTCCGTATCCTTCATCAGGTTGGATGAGCCTGAGAGAGTTGTCAAATGAGCTTTCTTGGGTATTAAGTTAGTAAAATAGTGTCGTTCACACAAAATGGTGTGCGTGGTTGCACTATTTGCCAAACAACTAACTTCCCCACTAGACAAACCTAGAAATAAATTGATTGAATTTGTCACATGCATAAATATAAGTCCATTCATTCAATTAAGTAATTCGAGAAAATAATATCCATTCCAATAACAATCCATACTTCAAAACAAATCAAAACCAAACAAATTATTCCAAATACTTAGAAAAATTGTTCAAAATTAAACCATAAACCTAGAAAAATAGGGGGGCAGGGCCAGCCAATCCTAATGGGTTTGGCCACTAGGGGTAAAAACCCTAAAAACATGTCTAATTTATTCATCCATAGGCACTGATGCCTCATGAAAATCCGATATCTCCATTGATGTAGTTGCATATTCTGGATGATCCACATATGCAAAGTTAGACTCATGATGGGAATGATACTTGTCAATAGCCTCAGGGGAAGCTCGGCATATGCATGACCAATAATCCCTTGATCCACAGTGATAACATATGTCTAGTTCAGTAGAAGCAGGCTGAACGGGAGCTTTGCCCTTGTTTTTGAAGTTTGGGGCCTTAGGGGCGAGTGGTGAATGCTGTTGGGTCACATTTATTCCCTTAGGTGTGGTACTCTGTTGACCTTGGGCTCATGGTGGGGCTTGCCACCCATTGCCACGATTATGATGATTCTTTCATCGTTTATGGCTCCTAGAATTAATCGCGTGTGCTTTAGGCGCGGTGTTTGAGCTAATCGGTCGAGCTTGATAATTCTTCATCAAAAACTGGTTTTGCTTTTCAGTAAGAAGTAAAATAGAGATCAAATCCGAAAACTTGGTGAATTTTTGTGCCCTATATTGTTGCTGCAGGACAATATTGATGGCATAAAAGGTTGAATAGGTCTTCTCTAGGAGATTTGATTCGGTTAGCTCCACTTTGCAGAATTTCAACAATGAACGGATTCTACAAACTTTAGAGTTGTATTCATTCACGAACTTAAAGTTCTGAAAACGAAGATGCTCTTTCTGGTGATCGAAACGGTCGGCCAGGACAAGCTAGAGGGTGCGTGGGTCCTCCTCAGCGAGATATTTAGTCTGTAATGCATCATGGATGTTTCTTCGAATGAAGATCATTACAGTAACCTTCTAAGCTTCGTCAACAGGTTTGTCGATGATAGGTGTCTCAATGGTGGCTCTAATACCCTTTGCAGTCAAATGGAGATTCACGTCTTGAACCCACTTCAGATAGTTTCTTCCAAAAACTTCTAAAGTGGAGAAATCGAGCTTGTTCAAGTTCAACATGTCCCTAAAACAGAGGGAACAACGTGAGTAGTCATATGGTAAGCCATAGATATATATCGTAGAACATGCAGGTTCTATAAACATGTATTGGTTTAATTTATGCATGAAAACTATAGGTTTCATGTGGTATGTTTTGAATGAAAACTTTGGGTTTCAAAGGCACTAAATTTGAAACTTTCAATTTAGTTTTTATGAACAATTAGTTCATAATGAGATGTTCTTGCAAGAAACACAGAATGTAATATACTAATTTGAATATAGTGGATTTGAGTTTCTTCGGGAACTCAAGTGTGAGAGCTTTGTTACTATGAAAGTATGTGACGGTTCAAAGTATAAAAATAAATTATTGAATCATTAATGTCCAAAAGTGATCTTTAGATTAATAATTTTAGATTCATTATCAAATTAATGGACTGTAGGTCACTTTTAATTAATTCAATAAATTGGGCCATACGGGGTTGATTGTAGAAGCTAAATAATATTAAAATTTTATTATTGGGTCAAAAAAATTGCCCCAAAAATAATTGGGCATGGGTTAGGTGCCTTGAGTACAAGGTAGGGCCAAAAAAAAAAAGGCCTTGGGAGTGAACTGCAGGTCATAAGGGTAGGCCCAGCCGTGTAGGCTAGCATGTTGGGCCAAAGGGGGTCACGGGTGAGGTCCAACGCAGTGTTGGCCATGGGTTGGGTGCACGAGGGTTAAGCCCAGCCTTGTGGGCTAGTGCGGGCGGTGGGAAAAATCCCAGCCAACTGGGCTGGATTGGATGGCAGAGGGCCGGGGTTGCAGGCCTCGTCGAGATGGACCCCAGGCTGAGGCCTGGTGGCTGTGAGGGTCAACTGGGCTTTAGGCCAGCAAGCTTGCCAACTGTGGTGGTGTGCCGCACCATGTCTAATTTCCATTTTTTGTTTTTTTTGTCTTTTCAAATCCCCAAAGGTTTAGGAAACCCAAATTTGCTTCTAATTTAATTTGATACTTTGACTCACAAATTCCACATAACAATTTAATTGTGCGATGCATGAAACAAATATATATATTGACAAATATATGAACATGTACAATACATATATCGGCAGGAAAATATAAACATAGAAGGGTTCATGCATCATGGGGAATGTTTTCATGCTTTGTGGACGTTTCAAATATTTTCTTTTATTTTAAGCGTACCTGATTAGCAGAAAACGAATAAGCCTTTGAATTTGGTGGATGATAGCCTTTTCCTACGATGTGTCAGTTCCTCAGCTTCTGGCAAGAGCATGTTGATAATGTGTTGTAGGCCTATTTGATTGACTGATCTAGGGTTTAGAGAGAGAGAGGAGGCCGACAATATTGAGGGAGAAGAGAGAGTGATTTAATTTTGAGATGTGTTTGATTCACCCCATTGTGCCTTTATTTATAATAGTAGGATAGGTAAAAACCTTTCCCTTTAGGATTACAACATTTAATAGGTAATCTACTCCTAATAGGAATATAAGATACATTTCCATATCTACTAGGATTTACACAATCACATTCATAGTCTAAATATGACTGCAACATAAGAGTATTTTTATTCTTTTAGTTTAAAAAAAATCTAAAAAATGTTGACATACCAATAAATCTTGAACGATGGCCACTTGGAATTGCAAACCTCACTAACCAATGGGCCGCATGCTATTTGTGCTAAAAGTAAAACATGCAGAAAGTATGTACAAACAGCTAATATTCCAGGATAGGCATGGACCAATGCTAGGTTCTATGTTGCCCCGCAACCGGTCATATGAATTAAAATTTTAATCGATTTTTCATACAAATTTTTAAAAATCATTAATTTGTCATATCATCTTAACTCCGTTAAGTTTTTCATCCAAAATAAGTTGCACATGACTTATGAGTTCAGGGTTATTTTAGTCATTTCAACACCTTGCTCCTCTTCTAATAAGTTGCCTTCGACAAAAATAAATCTAGGGATTCTATAAAAGTACAAAAAGGGATTAATCTGGTATACAATGATTTGAAGGTTTTCCATTTGGAAAAAGGAGAATAACCTGCACTCTCTTCTTTGTGTTTCGAAGTGAAGATAATCAAAATATAGTCACCGGAAACCTTCAGTTTGTGGTAAAATTGGAAGATATTCTTTATGTTGAAATGTCCGAAATAACTATCAACACAAGTTATGTACAAGACACATAACAAATTTTGGATAGAAAATTTAATAGAATTCAGATGAGCTAACATATTAATAATTTTGAAATTAGTATGACAAATCGTAAGTTTCAGTTCATATGACAAATTGAAAAAACAAAAGTGTGTAAGTTCATATGTCTTTTCAAACAAATTTATTAAATTTCTCTTGGATGCAAATAATTTAAAGAAAAGGGGTTGAATCGTTGGAGTTTACCCGGACCATGTTAATTTTGCCATACAAAAACAAACCCAACACTTCCAAGTGATTTTTTACCACAATGGTAGAAATATGTTAAACTCTTGTATGACGATTTTGGTTCTTACTTCGTAGGTGACTAATTTAATATAATCTAACGACAAGATATAAAAAAAAAAAATAAAATAAAAAAACCCACATTTTTTCTTTTTCTTTGAATACATGGATAAGAAGATAGAGTTTGGCTAAGCCACACAACCTAATTTGGCATCGAATTCGTTATCCATGAAAATTAAACTATCTCACTTCAAAGTAAAAAGAAATACCATCATATCATAGTGCTCAATGGCCACATTTTCTTTTGAATGCTGATTTCTTGTCAAACGGTGAAAAGGAATAACACCGCCCACCATAGCACTCACTAATGGAAAGAGATCCTTTCCGAATTCTTTTCACCTAATCTACTAAGTTTGGAGGTCGGGTTATTAAAATTTAATCAAACTGTTAAAGCTATTATAATTTTTAAAGTAGACGTCTACTTATAATCATTAGATCAAATTTCAATAATTTGAATATCTGAGTGGCAGGTTATGATGAAGGGAGAGGATCCCTTCCTTCACCGACCACAACACTTTCTTTTGAATGCTGATTTCTTACCATGCGGTGAAAAAATAGCGTTTTATAGAAACCGAAACGGTAAGACAGTGGTGGAACGACCCCAAAGTTTCCAATTAGGGTTTGCAGACCCCTGATCCAACACAAACCAGCTACCAACACTGCAATTCGGATCTCCACTGAGGGAGGCAACGAACCGAATCACAGCAAGCAATCGGACTATTAAGGTTAGGGCTTCGAGACGCCTCAGGCTCGCGATCTCCATCGAGGTAGAGAGGAGGATTCTTGTTTCGTGTAAGTACATCTGGTTATGGCGATCAGATGAAAATTTGTGCAAAAAAGGAAAGGAAAAAGGAATTTAGTGTTATTTGAGTGATTAGTGTTGTTAATTTGGGATTTGTGCTCTATTTTAGGTTGAAGGGGTGGTATTATGTTTGTTAGATGGAGTCTGTGCCAGATATGTGGTCCTGATAGGTAAGCAGCTCATGCCCCATATATATATATATATATTTATTTATTTTTGAAATTTATGTTTTGGGTTTTTTTTCTCCCGATTTAAATATTTATCTAGTCAGTTTCCAGTTTTGTTCATAGATTGTTGTATATACCCTTAATCTGATTTTTCTTCGGTGCGAGCCACTGAGAGTTGCACGATGCTTTTTGGTGTGAACCATGTAAATTAGCTGACATATTTCTCTTAAAACAAAGCTGACTTTTTTAGGACTATTGCTTGTAATTTGCTCCTAAAGTTCTAGGAAGTATTTTGGGTGATCATATAATTTTGAACTTAGTCGTCCTTCAGCTCTTTATTGTGGCACAACTGGTCATATTTGTACTTTAACTTATGATTTACATTGATTTTGTTATGGGTTGTTTGTTTTGGTATTCAACCTTCTTGGCATTTTCGTGTCCTGTCTCCATTTTTTGTTGATCTCAAGTGTAAGGGCAATATCAGGGACCATCTTAAAATGAAGATAATTTGTATCATGTAGCTCTGGGAGAATTGATTACATACGCATTAAAAGAAAGGCGCGATATGAGCCTTGACTAGATTCCCACGGAAAAATAATTAGTCCGAACTAGATTTCTGCATTAAAACGATCACACCTTATATTAGTTGGCATTTTTCAAGCCATCAATCAACCAATGCAAAAGAATGGTAGATGCATATTGAATCATTTGTGCCTATACTGTAAATGTTTACAAATCTAACCATTTTTATTAAAGCTTCTTGCACAACATTCCCCATGCTTTCTTCAAGATAACTTTGAGCAGATTTGCTGCGTTCACACTTCACGTATAAGGTGACAGTTCTGAATTAAGATTGTTAATGTAGAGTGTGGAGGTATTTTCATATTTATCCAGTTCCTATATCTAAGTTATAGGTACACTAATTACTTTGATGCTAGAACATGAGCAAAAAGAGTTAAACTGAGTGTGTGGCTGGGGATCTTCATGTTTTGACTAATGCGAACATCTTCACAGTTGAGTCAGTTTCTGAAAGTAAAACAAAAGCAATAGTTGAGTAGAATTTATTTGATGGACTCATACAAAGAAGTGCTTGCCAAGGACATTAGTACTTCTACAGGGTGAAATGTCAATTTAGTGTACATTCTGAGTTGAATTTTGTTATCTGATACTACCTCATACATGTCAATGCTTCATAAAAGTGCCCAAATTCTGGAATCTAAATTTTGTAATCTAAGACAGGTCAGGACATGATAGATGTTAGAGTTGTCTATGGGTAAGCAGCCACATTTTAAAATTTGAAGTAGAAAAGTAAGAAGAGTTTATGGCATATATCTTGGTTAGGGATTCTTGCATGGTTAATTTTTATTCTTTCTTTATTTATTTATTTATTTTTTATTTTTTAAATTATAGTTGTAAAGTAACAAATGTTTAATACTGGAAGAAGATAACTTTGTGAAGTGTCTATTGAATGGTGCTTTTTAGAATGGTTCATTTTGGTTTCCAAAAGAATGTTGTTATGTTGCCTTGAATGGTGCTTTTTAGAATGAGTCGAGGGAGTAGGCATTATTGGTAGAGAGGAAGTAATAAATTAGAGTAGGCGTTATGAATGTCACAACGAATATGATTGGGAAGTTTTGTGGACAAAAAGGAGATTCATTGGCTCATTATCTAGTCCGAATTGGTGAAATGATAGAATCCGTAAAAATTATTCAACAGGTCCTGGAAGGAATCCCTGGGGGACCCTATGAGAATTTAGAAATATGATACTTTGATAGAGAAAGGAATCCAGAATGGAATGATTTGGAATATTGATTTTTATTAGTAAAAAGCCGTTTCCTATATTTGAATTGCCGAAACAAGAATGTGAGAGTCAAAGTCCCAAAGAGAGAATTGGGAATTTTTCTCATAGTGGATTAGAGTTGTTTTCCTTAGAGACAGAAAATCCGCCTGTGGGATTTATTAATTTGCAAATTCTTTTTTCGGTTAGATAAAAGAATCAAATTGGCTCATATTATGACGATTTCTTAATTTCCTAGTGTGGCCGAAATTGATTGAAACTTTAGCATGGGCTCATGAATGCACACCTTTGGCTAATTGGATTTGATGGAGACATAAACTGGTGGCTCTTTCCATTGTGCAAGCAAGATTGGTTGGATTAGCCCACTTTTTTGTTGGATGTTCACCAGATATGTCTGTCAGCAAAGTTTTCTTCAGAATTCAACTCTTTAGGGATAAACCTAGAAACATATGTATTATTGAGCCACATTCGTTTTTTCTTCTTTGGTCAAAATTTCTTGAGCCATATTTGTAAATAAATTTATCAAAAATGTTGTTGGATTTAAGCACACAGCATTGCTGTCACCATTTTCGATAATTACATTATTTTGTGTTACCACCTGACTTTAGATTATGCAATTTACACTTATGCTGAAGTTTGCTGGTGTTGTAGTGTCGGTGCTTTTTCTGAAGAAAGTCAACTTAACCACTCCTTTTGGAAGTAGCTATGCTACCCACTGGAGCAAGAGATACTCAACTTCGCGAGAGCAATAGCCAGAAGGTTCACCCACAACCCATGGAAGAGGCCATGAATCAGAATCTAGAAGCTGTGGAAGCCTTGATATCTAAGGTTTTCACGAACATCTCTTCCTTGAAATCAGCTTACATTCAGCTCCAAGCTGCTCATACTCCCTATGACCCTGAAAAAATTCAAGCTGCAGATAGACTTGTAATTTCTGAGCTAAAAAACCTCTCTGAACTTAAGCACTTCTACAGGGAGAACAATCCCAGCCCAGTTTGCGTTTCTCCACAGGACTCCCGCCTATCTGCAGAGATTCAAGAACAACAAATTCTGCTGAAAACCTATGGGGTTATGGTTAAGAAGTTCCAGTCTGAAATTCAAAATAAAGATGCTGAAATCCTTCAGCTTCAGCAGCATATTGAGGAGGCAAAACAGAAGCAAGCAAAGTTAGAAAAGAATTTAAAGCTGAGGGGCATGTCTACAAAAGAATCAGAAGGTTCCGCTGATGAGAATGGTGTTATGCCTGAGGATTTAACTCCCAATCTCTTCACATCGGTTTTTGAAGCTTCATATAAGGCTATTCATGACTTTGCGAAACCATTGATTAACATGTTGAAAGCAGCTGGGTGGGACCTCGATGCAGCAGCCAACTCAATTGAACCCAGTGTTGTCTATGCAAAGAGACCTCACAAGAAGTATGCGTTTGAATCTCATATATGCCAAAGAATGTTCAGTGGCTTTCAGCAGGAAAGCTTCTCCCTTAAATTGGACAATCTTACAGTCACCAAGGAGAGTTCCTTCCACCAATATCTTGCACTACGGGACATGGATCCATTGGACATGCTTGGCCAAAATCCAGATTCTATGTTTGGGAGATTTTGCAGGAGCAAATACCTGGTAGTGGTTCACCCAAAAATGGAGACTTCGTTTTTTGGAAACTTGGATCAACGAAATTATGTAATGGGTGGGGGGCATCCAAGGACTCCGTTTTACCAGGCTTTTCTAAAGCTGGCCAAGTCAATATGGCTTTTGCATAGGCTAGCACATTCTTATGATCCTCGGGCTGAAGTCTTTCAGGTCAAGAGGGGGAGCGAGTTCTCAGAGGTTTACATGGACAGTGTGGTGAAGAATTTGGTAATGGATGAAAACGACGAAAAGCCAAAGATTGGTCTGATGGTTATGCCTGGTTTTTGGATTGGAGGTAGTGTGATTCAAAGTCGGGTTTATCTCTCTGGCGTGAAGGTTGCTGAATGACAAGCCGGTTCACGGTGCCAATCAGTGTTCACATGGGTATGCGGTGTGTTTTTTATACATGTCTGTTGCTTTCATAATGTATTGTTGTTGTTTGTGATTTTTAGTTTGTATAATTGTTAAAATAAAGTCAGCTATTAAACACTTATTCAAACACACACCACCACCACCTCTCTCCCCCCCCCCCCCCCCCCCCCCCCCTCTCTCCCCTTCTTTCTCTCTCTCGAAAGGTTTAGTATGTATTAAAGATAAAGATTCGGAATGATAACGAACTGTCGTTGAGTAGATTTTCCTTCGATATGGCTTGACCAGGCGGTATGTGTTAAGCCTTTCTGTTCAGATTCGTAACCAGGATTGAAAAATTGATTAGTTAGCAATGGTGTTTCTCGTATGCACCGGAATTCATGACTCGTTAGATCCTTAAGACATTGGGGAATTGGATCCTCGCTGGATCCTCTCCTGAAGATCATAGGGATCAACGCACACAGACCGCTGATCAAAAATCGTGCGGTCATAATTTTTTTCTTTTTTATATTTTCATGCAAAACAAGGTTACTTTACTTTTAAAAAAAATATAAAAAGCATTTAATTGGGGCTGTACAATTTTTTATCAACGGTTCGTGTGCGTTGATCTCTAGTATCCCCATGGAGGGGATTCGGCGAGGATCCAAATCCAAACATTGGATCCATACTTGGCCAATCCACTCTAAAAGAATTTTTTTTGGTATTTTTTTTCTTTCTGCACTCTTATTAATTTTTGTTCCTCAATATTTTGTTTTAACCATTCACCCCAAGAGTTGGAAATAAAATGTTGTGTAGGAGAAAAAAATGAGGTGCGAAAATCATTTCTCAATTCTAATTAAATTAAGACTTAATCTTTGTCATTAGTAATCAACTCATTCAATGACGCATCGGGAGAAGTAAAAGCATGTTTTACAGAAGAGTCAATTTTAAGGTTACTAATTTGCGCTTATTATTATGTTGTGTCTGTAAAATAAATACTTTTATAATATAGAGAGAAATGCTAAAAAGATTATTTTAAAGTAAACTTTTTATAGTCTTTATATCACTTCATGTTTTTTTGCACAATGTTTTATAATGTTGGTACGGAAATTGTACATTTCTCTAATATAAAATTTCACTTGAAGCAAAAGCATGCAATTGAAAAGTCAAGTAGACCTAGCATTCGTTTCATGTTCGCATCGTTTTTGTAACATACCCGATTTCATAACAGGTCATGTAGTGTAACATCTGTTAAAATGAACGTGTAATATGACCCTACCAAAACTCGACCCAATAATAATAACGGCTAATATGACCCGATCCGTTACCTACTAGAGAAAATATATTTTAAATCAATAAATAATCAAATAAAAAAACGTAATACTAAATTAATATCTAAATATTATATTGTCACATAAATATTATTTTAAAACATAGAACACATTTATATTTTTACGTATTACATACTTTAGAATAAGTGACTAATGGAAAAAAACATTGACGATAATTATGTAACCCAATTCTCTTCCCTCTACGAGTCCACTGGGGAGGCTGGGTACTGGGTAGCATAACAATCAAAAGAAAAAGGCAAACATATACAGAACAAAGGGAAGAAGACTAAATAGTTGATATCATCCCTTCTCATGAAGTTACGTTTAGTTTATCAGTGTTGTGATTATTGTTACTCGTCATATACCCACACGTTATACCTGTGTAATTAAATTTGGCTATTATTTGTTATAGAAAATTTATATCACTTTGTTTAGGGAAAAAGAAAACTTTTTTTTTATTTTATTTTTTTAAATCAAAATAAAATTGGGCGTGGAACTTGGAAGGTGAGAGCGTTGACGTGGGAGATGTGGGGTTAAAAAAACCTTCTTAATTGGGCGTGGAACTTGGTTTAAGCTGTTTTCATGAAAGGTCTTCCAAGTAATATTGGCAATGATGTAGAGTGGACTGAATCCTCCATCTCAAGCACATAAAAATATGCTGGAAAAATCAAGTGGTTAACCTGCACCAAAACATCTTCCAAAACTCATTTCTAGTATGTATTAGATCGATCAACTAACTGAATAATAACACCATCGTTTTTAAGCTCTCTTAGATTCATAGATGCATAAATGGAATATGACATGACATTAATGAAAGCACCTATATCTAACATAGCACGCTCAGACTTGGTATTAACAATAGCACAAGGGATATTGAAACTACCTGGATCTTTCCATTTAGGTGGGAGCTTTCTTTGCAAAAATGCAGAGACATTCTCACTTACCTGTATCACTTCCTTTTTCGAGATCCGTCTTCTTGTTATACAAAAATCTTTAAAAAAATAAGCATAATTTGGAACTTGCTTTATTGCATGAAGAAGCAGCATATTAACTTGTACCTATATGAAGGTTTCTAAGATGTCTTTTTCACACTTTTCTTTCTTAGATTGCATAAAACTGTGAGGAAAAGGCACATTTGGTGGAATGGGGTTAGAAAGAATTGCATTTGGACCAACCTTACCTAAATTAGGTGGCATATGGGCTTTAGAAGGCTGCGGCAAGGTTTGCTCCTTCCTTGTCGTGGCATTGTCTTCCTACTCTTCTTCGGGTAGTAGTTGTTTGTCCTCTTTTTGGCTTTACTTGGACATTTTTGGTTCAATTCCAACCTCCTTACCACTTCTAAAGTGATGGCATTAGGGGTTTCAAAACCTCCATTTGGATTGGCAATGGTTGAACTAGGAGGTTTGGCTTGTTCTCTAAATTGTCCCATGAATTTTGTTATCTGTCCAATTCGATTCTTCATGTTGTCCATTTCTTTCCCTCCACTTCATATTTGGATGATCTCTCCAGCACGGATTGTAAGTGTTGGAAAACGGGTCATTCCTTGGTTGATTTTAGCCTTGGTAACCGACGACATTGGAACTTTCCCATTCCCCATTTTCTATTAATTGAGGACATTGATTAGTAGGATGTCCTTGCAAAGAGCACATGCCACATGCAAACACTTTGCACTTTGGACCCTTTGACAGCCGGTGATATAAGAGTAGTGAGATTAGCCATTTGAGATTGAAGTTTTGAAATAGCACTTACCTCATCGACTTGAATTGGGCGTGCAAGTTCTCTTCCTCCAACTCCTTCATATTGTTGTTTATTCAAGACACAATTCACTATTAAAATCTTCACAGCCACTGGGGTTTTGTCAATGAAAGCACCTCCAGCTGAAGCATCAAGCATTTCTTTCTCAAATGGAAGTAGTCATTCATAGAAATATTGAATTAAAAGATCTTCCTTCATTTGATGTTGTGGACAAGATGCAACTATAGTCTTGAAATGCTCATAATGCACTGGAAATGATTCTCTTGGGCCTCGTTGAATTTTCTTCCTCAAAAGAATGACTCTTGAAGTAGGGAAGAATTTCTCTAAGAATGCTTTCTTCATCCTTGCCCAAGAAGTGACGATTCCAGGTGCTAATTCAAAGAGACAATCTTTAGCCTTTTCCAAAGGAGAGAATGGAAAGCCCTTCATCTTTAAAATATTTCCATCCGCATTAATAGGTGTCATACTCGAGCATACTACTTCAAATTCCTTGAGATACTTGTTCGGATCTGTCGTGGATAGCCCATGGTACTTGGGAATGTGATGTAGCAAATTAGACTTCAATTCAAACTCATCGGTTTTGCCTTGAACTGCCGTAAGATATTGAATGCAAAGGTGAACGACATTGTCCAATCCCAAGGCTGAATGTTCCTTAATTGTTCGATTGTCAACAACCATGTTTTGTTCCTCTTCCGGTTCTGTTTCAGTTTCAACTTCAAATTAAGATATAGAACTAGAACTAGCTGGATTGAATTTTGGTTGCTTCCTCTTCTTTCTCAAAGTTCGTTCAAAATTGTTATCTAAGTCTAATATATTCTCACGAACAGGTTGGGAACTCCAAGTCATAAACTAATACCTAAAACAAAAGAAAAATAAATAAATAAATAAATAAATAAAATTAGAAACAAAAGAAAAGACACAAACAACAACAAAGGGGAAGATTAGCAATTTTGCTAATCCCTAGCAACGACGCCAAAATTTGATGTGGTAGAAACTAACACAAAGATTAAACCTTGTATATTATGCAATTGTAATACGAGTAAGTAGGGATCGTTCTATTTCGGGGATTAGAAGGGATGTTAATCAACACAAATTAAACTAATAAAATTGAAAAATAAGTTAAATTAACAACAAAACAATGACTGGGGGGATTTTGGACGAATTTAATTAAAACAAAAGTAAATGGCAACAAGTAAATTAAGTTGTGAATGAAACATGGATGAAAGGATAGCTAAAGGATTCTTCTCCCCACATGAAACATATGCATACAAAATGATTTTTAGTTATTCTTCTTATAAACCATGAATGACAATGCCTCAAATTAACCGTGAACAACACTAATTAACTCTTAGATTTTCCTAAGTTCATTGAATTGGACTCAGCGACGCAACCAAATTATTCTTCTCAAGTTCCCTAACTATTAAAAGCATGATAGAGATATATCATTAAGTTCTGTGAAAATCATAAGCATTGATGAAGCATTCATAACTATGAAAAGCATGATACTTCTGCCAAGGATTTACTTAATTAAATCATGACTAGTGACTTTTACTACTTGTAAACATAAGTTCAAAACGATCAGGTGAAATTACCTTATATTCTAGCATCAAATCACTGCCTGCAAACTAAGCTTGTTGATGTGATATAAAATAGCACACAAACTTAAACCTTCTTTTTGATAGTTATAGTATGTGAAAGTAGGGATCGTTCTAGGTTAGAGATTAGGAGGGATGCTAATCTACAATTATTTAACTCAAAAACAGAAAACTAGACTCAAATAACTCAAAACAAACTAAACTGACTCAAATAACACAAAACTACGTAAAATTGACTCAAAACAAGCACTAGAGAGAACTTTGGATGAAAATTAAACTAAAAAGACTCAGAATACTAAATGGGGATTGTTTCGATGAATTTTAACTAAAACTAAGTAGATTGCATAAACAAACTAAAGGTTGCACGAAATTAAGGTGAATTAAAGGGTGAAAGGCTAGCCAGAGGGTCCTTCTCCACACATGACACATATGCATACAAATCGATTTCCAGTTATTATTCCTATAAACCAT